CTGGCACAAAATAGCTCTGCGTCCCTCCTTACTCAAAGCAAAGTGAAAAGCAACAAGCCAAGGTGAGGAATAGGCCTGTGCTTTCCCTTGCCAGGAGCCACAGCCCACGGAGGAAGAGAAAGCAGTGGCCAGGACAGCCGAGGGGCACCAGCCAGGCACAGAAGAGGTGAGCTACGTCTGTTGCTGCTCCCAGGGCAGGGTGGGCCATGGCAGCAGGATATCCTCTGCTGACCCCAGCAGAGATGTCTCCATCTGACCTTCTCTCTGCATCTGAACTTTCACCTCTCTGATGTAATGCACAGGGAATCACCCTGCTGAAACAAGAGTTGGAATCAGAAACCAGGAATCAAAAAGGAGTCATCACAGTACCCCACCAAAGCCTTACAACATGTAGGTTGTTGTTGTTAGATGCGCATTATAACTGTAACAACACTAAGGCCACTTCAGCAACAACAATGTCGGATTTCCTGTATATTACCCTAAGCCCTTCCAGAGAAACAGGCCATTTTGCACTCCAAATAGACCAACTTAACAAGACGCACAAAAGCAGGGACATCAAAAATAAGACCTCATTCTGATACTAAATTAATGAGACTCCATGATTGCACGGAATTATCATAGAATGGTTTGGGTTGGAAGGGACCTCAAAGCCCATCGAGTTCCAACCCCCCTGCCATGGGCAGGGACACCTTCCACTAGAGCAGGTTGCTCAAAGCCTCATCCAGCCTGGCCTTGAACACTTCCAGGGATGGGGCATCCACAGCTTCTCTGGGTAACCTGTTCCAATGCCTCACTGGGAAGGAGGCATCTTCCTCTCTGGGAAGAACTTCTTCCTGGTATCTAATCTAAATGTCCCCACTTTCAATTTAAACCCATGACCCCTTGTCCAGTCAGTACAGGCCCTTAATCCAGTATTATTATGCTAAAGGTGTTTCCCTTGCTGAGACTCAATTACACACCTTCAGAAAAGAGAGAAGCACAAAATGCTCAGGACAGCCATCACCTCATTTAATTGAGCACTTGTGCAGTATTTACCTTAGCAGGCTGTGTACACAGCTTTTAGATACACCCATCTGCTGAGATCAGGGGTTTCTGTGCCAAGCTATTTATTGCAATTGTTTCTTGCTAGATGGATTACGGCTGAAATCACCTGAGGCACCATGGGCAGATGCTGTTATTGTAAGGCCAGACATGGCAGCAAGCTGTGAAGACACAGCCCTCTGTCTGAGCTCGTCCCATAAAAAGCAGGGCAAATTCTGTAGATATTTATGTTTGATATGTAGAATGTGAAGAAACAAAGGAGGTTCAGACAGATTAATTTCCAGAGGGTGGGAGGCTGCCCCCCAAGATGATTCTTTAGCAGTCAAAGCCATTATTAATGCCTTAAACCAAATCTGAAATGGCTGGTGGGTATGGCCCAAGTATTTTAGAAGTAGAGCCTCTGCTGGCATAAATTAATCCATTACCTCCCCCCTGCACAGCTCACAGTCCTCTCTGTAGGCAGAATGGATTATTTTAAACACAAGAAGATCATCTTTGCATCCTGCTGGCAAACCTGTGGTGATTCTTTATGTTTCCCTTCTCAGCGAAAAATATAAAAAAGAAAAAATTACAGGAATTACATCCGAAAAGAGCTATTCTGTACCCAGGTCATACATGCTGTTTCAGGAGCGGCAAGAAGAAGCGGCCAAGAGGCTGGGGCGCTGGAGATCCGGACTCCCACGGAAGGCTGAACAAAGAAAGGCACCTACTGCCGGGGAAGGTGACGCTCCGCGGGAAGCACCCTACCACAGCCCTGACGGGGAACACCTCCCCAGCCTCCCGCTGGAGCCAGGCGTTGTATGGCACTTCGTGGATTTAAAAAAAAAAAAAAAAAATCAAACATTGGAAGTGGCGTTTATTGGCTCCCCCTCACGCACATGATCAGCTCCAGAGGAGGAGTTTGTTCCCAAGGCTGCCGAGTTGGGCAAGGGGGCTGAGGTAAGGGGCAGGGGGCTTCCGACCGCTCCGGCGGCTCGGGAGGGGTTTAGGAGCTGGATCTGCAGCACGGCAAAAGCAGGAGCGCAGACGAGACGATTAGTGCTCCCTCTTCCTTTCCCAGCCCCGCAGCAAGGACCAAAACCCCAGTGCACCGTGCGAAACGCAGGAGAAACAGACCTCACCGCTGTCTGCCGGAGGTAGGTGCGGGCTGCCTCCCGGATGCGTTTTCCTGCTGTGTAATGCCCGAGGCTGTTTGAGCATTGAAATTTGGCTTCAGGGTATTGTACGACATGCTTACCTGTAAACTCCTTTGCCTCTTTTCTCTGTGGATGGAAGAAAAACACATCTTTTCTGTGCTGCCTCTTTTTCTGGGGGGCACAAGAGCAAGTCTGCCTTTTGTCGAGGTGTTTTTCATCCCTTTCATGTGTTTTTTGCTGCTGATGCACTGACACCTTGGGCACGGTGCAGGTAGGAGAGTGGGAGACCAGAGGTTTATTTTCAACTGGTTAATTCTTATTTTTCCTCCCTCAGCCTGAAGTAGTCTTCATAAAATTGCTTTTCATCCATTGTCTTTAGGTTTTTTTCTTAACACTGGGTGAATGGCTTCCTCCTGTAAATTAAAAATGGTGCGTTCTCTGTCGAGGAACGGTTGTGTGCTTTTCTTCCTAGTCAGGTATTTAATATATAAACATACATGTCTGTCTCCGAGTTTGCTTCCACTTAAGTTCTCCATCTCTCTGAAGATTTTGGTTTAGGCCCAGTTCATTCCCCTGTTTGTGGAAACTTGTGCCATGGCGGGTCTGGTATGAGCTGTTGGCAGTTATTTTTAATAGCTTGAAAAGAGGGACGGCCTGTTGATGTGTGGGTGTTCCTCCTGAAACCAAGACCCAAAATGGGGCAGTCAGCCACTTCATTTTCTTTGCTCAAGTGGAGCGATCATCTCTTGACTCTGCGCCCACTTTCTCACCAAGAATTGAAAACACCAGGTAGGCAGTCACCTGTGGGCATTCAAAAAACATTCCTTGTCTGAAGAGATTTCGGTTTTGTTTCTGAACTGAATTTTTGGGACGGTGCTCTGGCTTTTTCTCTGAGGGGAGGGAGGAAGCCTCCTCACACAACTGCTGCCTTCAGTCAGCTCAGGGTCACACCACCAGCCCCCCTCTCCCCCCCCAAAGTGCTACCTTGCTGGCCTAATACCACGAAGAAGATGACCCTTTCCCCGTATGAGAGGATTTTCATCTCCAGTCTCAGGCACGGCATCATTAAATCACCCGCCATGACGGACCGGCGCCATAACTCCTGTGCCCACGGCCTGAGGGGGGCACACGAGAACGGCCCATCTGCGGCTGGGGCGGGGCGCTGAGGGGCCTCCTCCTTTCCCGCCACAGAAAGGCGGGTGGCCGCGTGTGGCGGACATTGTGTCGGGGCTCAGCCGCTGTCACCAGCCGATCACCCCTTCACGGCACGGAGAACGTGGGCAGGGGGTGACGGGCTCCATCCTGGGTTAGGAAGAATGGTCCTGTCGTTGTGGAGCAGTTGATCTTTCAGGGGCTGCGCTGTGAGGGTTGGGGCAGTGTGTTCTTGTTAAGGAAGCATTTCTGGTACTTGGGGTTGGGGTCTGGGATGAACTTTTCTCCCTTACATGCCCTTAGGAAGCACCCACGGTGGTCTTTTTCAGTCAAATGGCTATATTGAAGGTGTCAGATTATCCTGCAGCTACCTCTAGTCAGGGCAGTGTTGATAGTGTCTGCCCTTACCTGTAGCTAACACCTCTTCTTCCCACTTTTCAGGGTAACGGATTCCTCAGGATGCTTTTCCCCATGCTCTGCAGCCCTGCTTGCACCTGTCCCCTCAAATCCTTTTTATCAGTAATGTTATAAATGAAAATCCGGATTCATCGGGATGCGTTACTACGAACGCAGAGAGGCGGCACAACAAGTGCGCAGACACAGGAACTCGTTGCATTGTGGAGAAAAACCTGCTGCGTGGACAGAAGTCAGCTGCGTGTTGTAACGGTCATTTGTGTCACAGTCCTGCGATGCACACACAACAGTACTGACGCTAAGTGACAGGGAGCTGCTCTCCTTCCTGATCCCACAGTACTCCATCACTGGTAGACTTGCTACATTGATTATTTTTCCATCATTTCAGATTCCTCTTTGTCCCTCAACTATTTTTTCCTCGTGTTTCCACTTAATTTCTATTTACAGCTTATAGGTGAACTTCCAAAACTTGCCTATTAATGTCACCTAGGCTGGATTTCTTTCTGTTTTGTTGAGAAAAGTTCATTTGCCTTTTTTTCCTTTTTTTTTTTTTTTCCCCCCCCTTCCTACTTTGCCCACATACATTCCCCCCTGCCCCAGGAATATAGCGAATGATCTGTTGCCTGATAAATTCCAATAAAATGAGATGGTGTGGATCAGCACAGGTTTCCTTTCTTCTATTCTTGAGGTTTTATTTAACCAAATACTTCTCTGATTCTACAAGTTTTCTGAGATGTTCCTTATTATGCCTGCAAATGAAGTATTTGACAGATTTCTGTGGTTTGAGTGACCATTGAGTTACAGTTTTCTGTCAGTAAGGTAGCATTTTACTGGCCAGCTAAGAGAAAAAATGTGGGAATAAAATGAAATCCCTTTTCAGAAAATAAATCAACTTAGTTCTGTTTGATTACATATTATTTTACTTGTTTGAACTTTTATACATTACACCTGCTAGTGGAGCTGCAGCAGTTGAGGATGTGGCACTGTGTTGCCACAGGTAGGTGCAGCCAGGGAAATGCAACAGTGTTAATCAAACAAATTCTTTGGTTTCACTTCTCTTTTCATTTATTCATTCCAGCTTGCCTTTGTGATGCAGTGCAGTTGGATACTCTCCTGTGCTCAGTCCTGCCTGTTCAGCAAATGTTTCTGTGTGCTGTTCTGCCAGGAAGCACTGGGGAAGACAAACAAAAAAGGCTTTGAAACTCTACAAAGAAACCACCAAATTCCCAGTGGAATCAATGATAGAGTCTTTGAGTCATGAGGAATCTTTACCAAGTGGCAAGGTACGTAGCGTGGGCAAGTATTAAACAGATTACAGAACAAGATTTGGGAGTAAATCAATATAAACGTTGCAGGCTATTATGTGTTTTAGAAGGGTGCTCATGAATGCATGTTTCAAGTTGAATTCTCTTCAGGCCTTGCATCTTGAAGAGCTGTTGTTGATGCAAGCCCGGGGTGAAAGCAGAGAAGTTCTAGAACTAAATGTTCTTCTCTGAACACTGTGGCATTCCCCACCCGTGTGCAAGCCTGGAATTGGCTGGGTTTGTTGTCTTCAGAAAAAATGATTCCTGGGTTTCATTATCAATAGATAGGCACTGTGGGGCACTAATGCCCAGTTTGTACAGATAACGGTTTGTTCTCATGTAATGACTTTTGTTGCAATACTTAAATTTATCTGCCTTTCAGGTGCTGCTATCCCATTTCTCAGGAGCCAGAATGTTTTAGCTTCTTCATTCTCAGCACAGTGATGGAAAACTCATCCTCTTCTGGTACTGTCCACCCAATAGTGTCTTCTGTTCCAAATATGAAATACATACTGATTCTGAGAAAAAAAACGTGAGTGATGCTGGCAAAGAACACATGGAAAATGTTCTGGAAGAATACTCGCAGAAAGGTAGAGGTGTGCAGAAGAGGCTGAATGAAGTGAGTTGCAAATGGGGCAGCTTCTTAAGTATAGATGAGCTTTTGTTATTTTTGTCATTGCTGAGTCTTTGTACAGTTTCACCAGTGCTATTTTGAGCAGCCTCTTGGCTGCTGTAAGCTGTACTTGGCCGTCATGATTCCCACATATCGTTTGACAGACAGAAATAGGCAATGGGTAGTCATGTTGTTGGCACCATCCCTGCAGTGGTGTTCCATGCACAGTCAGTTCCATGCAGCACAGTGTGACTAGCTGGTTAACTAAGAAATATTTAATATAATAAAATAACCTCTTAATTCCCATACCCATGCTGCTCTCAGCCTCATTGGTTTAGGTTATGTATTCAGTATTTTGGTTGGTTTAGCTTGGTTTGGGTTTTTCCCTCCTTTAGACTACTCAGCTACATGAGCAACAGAAAATTGATTTAAGACTGATCACTGCTGATTTGCAGAGCAAACTGATGGAAGTGCAATTGGAAAGAGATGCGCTTCAGGATACCAGGTACGAAGGCCAAGACAGATGTATTACGGAGACTGTATGTATGTGCTTTGAGAGGCACACAGGATCTCCTGAGAAACTTGCTCTCAGGATTTAAGACAATGAGACTGTGGCACCTTGGTTAAGAAAACGGCTTATTATGTAGTTATAAAAAACAAAAAGCAGTTAACATAAGTATTACACTTAGGAGTCAGGATAAAAATCCATGTTGTGAAGCCTGTTTTTAAAATTATTTCTTTAGTTTCCACATTCAGACACAAGGAATCCTGGAGCCAAGAGAATGTAAAAATGCAGCTAAAAAATATCATTCAGGAGCTAGAAGCTGCCAACCAGCTGGACGAGGAGATGCTGAAGGAGGCTGACAGCCAAACTGAGCATCTGAAAAAGATGGTACACAGTCATGAGGAAGTACTTCTGGAACTATGTGGAATCCTAATGGACTACGAAGACAGCACAGGCAAGAAACTGTATGAGCATGAGAATATTACTAGCTTACACATCCACAACCTTAGCACAGCATTTGCTGATGTCCTGCGAGATTTAGACTCAGAGGGGTCGTACTTCAAAGAAAAGATTGTCCTGGTATGTGAAGAAAGTGTTGCTTTTCCTTCCAATACTCACGTTCTGTTTTTTAGAAAATATTTTTGAAAACTCCACAAGCTCCCATCTGAACTGGCCCAAGGAAATGGTTATGGCAGAAAGAGGTGCGAACGCTGCTTTGCAGTTAAGATGGCAGGTGCTGGTATGCCAGCCTTGTACACTGTCCCCACCTTGAGACTGTGTTTACTGGTGGAATTTAACTTGTATTGTGCACATTATCACAGTTCAAGGTGGAAGCAAAATGAAGGAAATGGTGCTTTGAGAACTACTACTTAACTGCTTAGACCATCTTTTCTTCGGGGGTTGGCATTGTGATCTGTTTACACTAGGTGGAAGAAGAACTTGAGTCATTGAAAAAAGGTTCACAGACTCAAACCCAACTTTTCTTTCAGCAACATCAAAATAAGGTAGCTGTTCTCTATTTATTTATTCATAAAAAACAAATAGAAGTTTTTTCACATTCCATAAGTAATAATTCTCTGACAATGATGATACTGGGGTGGGTAGTGGCTGGGCAGCTGCAAGTAATGTTTTTGAGGAATTAATTGTTCCTTTCCAGATATTTATTTGCTCTTGGCTTTGTGCTGCTTTTTCTTTCCATGCTGGCAATCTCCTGTTTTATTCACTGCCTCAAAAAGTAGTAATTTGGAAGAATCTGTACACCTTGCTTTTGTAAGTGTGATTGGTCACTTAGACATCTAGAATTTGTTGGGACACTAGTTCCACCGTTAAAAGAAAAGATTGGAAGCAATCACTTTGGTGGTTGCATCAGCTTTTTTTACAGTTTCTCCAAGAGCTTTGTTCCTTGTTGAAGAAGTCCTAATTTCCCCAGCTATCCATCTGAATTACGCAGTAACCTGTTCAAACTAAAGGATCAGTAACTCGATACATATTTCATTCACAGTCGAACATCAAAATGATTAAATTTCTGACTACTGAAAAATATCATTACCTCTTCAGTGGAGAAGTTATCATTTGCCAAGATTAAAATGAGAACCGGTATTTTCTTTTTGGAACAGGATTGAGCAGCTACTAGGGGAACATGAACAGGAGGTGGCAGCACTAACTGACAAAGCTAACAGTGCGTGCAGCTATGCAAATAGTATCCAAAACCATGTGAAAGTCACTCAGTATGTTTTTTGATTGTAGTATAGAAAATGTTGAGTAACCTCAATTTGAGAGAAAGCTTATGCTACTAGTGTACTCTGCTCTCTGCCCTACACTTGTGGTTTCTCAGGGTCTTTGTTTAAAGAGTTAATCGTTCCTTGTGTAAGTTATGGAAGGAAGAAAAAAAAAAAAAGGGAAAACCAACCAAACAGAGAGGCAAAATAGCCAGGCATTGCCCAGACTCTGAGAGTGGGGAGACTGGGGCTGGTTCTTTTCTCTGGCTGCTGCGGTTCAGAAAAGTAAGACCAGCAAAGTCTGTGGAAGTTCAGACTGGCTGAAGCAGTTAGCTGTGTTTCTTGCCACCAGCTTCCGAAATGTTGAATCTCTTTTATCTGAGTTGTGAACAGTTTCTGCGAAGAGTTAAGGGATGAAAGAGCTGTGGCTGAGTGCAGTGCTAGGTGGCTTAAAAAATGAGGACATGCCATTCAGTGTTGCAAGTTTAAAATGGGATTTAAATGTCAGTACGCGTTAATATCTGACGCGTTGTTGAGACTGAATACCTGATTGCAAAATGCTTCTCAGTTTTGCCTGTGGAATAGTTGGGGTGCATTTGGAAGCAGACTTATCTTTCTTACAACTTCCTTGAGAATAAACGAGTTATCATCAGGAGTAAAAGCATCAAGATTTCAGTTTATGTAATTTTATGTGAGATGGATATCAGAGAGCAAATCTAACCAGTTAGAAGGTTTAACTTTTATGTGATCCCACTGTGAATGATAATCATACTTCAAAGCAGTAGGTTTCATTGGTCATACTGATTGCAGTGATAACAACCACATGTTTCACACTTTCATGGTTCTTACAGTTTCTAATTTCTCATCCTAAAAGCTTTCTTAGAGAACAAACAAGAAACCAAAATTCAGTGCATGCACATGGAATCTACAGTTTCTCAACTGGGTTCTGAATTACAAGAAGCTAAGAGGATGCATGAAGACAAGGTGCATATGGATGATTTATGTGTTAGCATTAGTGCCAATGAAACTGGATATGTGGATATCTGAAATGTTCTGGATACATAAGGAAAGTCCTTTTATAAAGGATTACTTCAGAAAAACTGTGGGGACAGTATGATAAATTACATTATCCTTAACTATTTCTTGTATTATTTTTAAGGACAAGTTTTTTTTCTCTAACAAAATGGCTTGGGAAAACTTACTGAACGTAAAATAGTTTTGCTGAATGTATTGAAAGCATATCATAAATGATGCTTTTTGGAAATACGTAAAATTACTCTGCCACATAAACATCACTTGCACATGCAGGACAACAGCTTTGTTCCACTATACCACTGGAAAATATATCAGCAAATGCAGGCAGTAAAAATAGCTTCTTATTTAAGTTGTAGTACCCAGAAGAATTCTGTGGTAACTTTGTCTTGGTAAGCGCAAGGATGGGAGAACATACAGATTACAGCAGCGTTTGGGAAGGATTCAGGTGCCCAGAGATGAGTTAAGAATCTTTACATCCATTGAAATCCCAAGGCTTCTGATCAGCAGGATATAACATAAGCAAAAAAGACAGTCTGGCCAGCACCTGTGTATTCAAACTGTTTCTTAATCCCGTTAGAAAACATTAATCTTGACAAACCTTTTTAAACATGCATCTCCACAGAGACCAACTTTTTTCCAGGTAGTACAGCAGGGAATTTCTGCAGACAAATGGAAAGAATCTTTTACAGTCCCACCACAGAATCATTGCCGTGTCACTAACTGCAGCATTTTATATTCCATTTCCATATCGACTCTGCTGCATCTTACACTTACTTCACTGCTTTGGATTCAAGTTTTATAAACAGTTTGAATATCTTTAAATTCTTTGTTATTTTTGGTGAACGACAATTCACATTTTCCTTAGAAAATGGCCTGAAAACGGTTGCTCCACTCCCTTTAAAAATTAGTGGGGCTGACCCATGGAGAAATGCTTGATGAATCCAAATCCAGCTTAAGTTACAAGTCATGAGGATTTAGGCATCCCTCTCCTACATGCTATTGGAAAGAGAAAGGTCAGGTCACAGGAGTGCCATGCAGTTTGGCAGAGCTGATAGTCTGTGATCCAGAAAGGTTTGAGAATGGAATGGCAGGGATAAGCAGGTCAGGCCTGTGGAGCCATGGTATACGTGTACTTGCACTATAAAGCAGAGCAGGAAGGACGTAGTGTTTCATCCTTTCTGTAGGTTTCCACTTTTATCCATTGCATTCATTCACATGTATCAAAACTCACACTAGTCAGTTCCAAAAGTGACTTTTCACAGCAGCATAACTGAGCTGTGGAGAATTTGTAAATTAATCTCCATTACTGTATTTCATCCTCCAGGAAGAGTACAGTATATGGCAAGTTTTCCATGTTGGTTCTATTTCCCAGAATTCTTTTGATTCAGTCCCACAGTGCACAGCATAAGGTCAAACCACATACATAGCTATAACTGTGTTGTATATTCCTTAGCCATGTCCCCTTTCATAATGTTTGCCTCATAACAGATGTAAAAATGGAAACTAGGAACCAATTTAAGGCGATATTTCATAGTCTACCAACTGTAGAAAACATTGGGGGTTTATATCTATAAAAGAATATACTACTTTGTCTAGTAAAATTTGCTTTTGAATAGGAAGTGTAATGCACTGAACTGCTAAAATAGACTTTAGTGAGAGAAAAGTTGGTAAGTGGAGATCATTTGATCTCGGGCTGTTATGTGGAGTCATTCCTGAGAAGGTGCGAGACAATCTAAATAAAGCTTTTACAACTGTATGTCTCTCTTTTACAACAAGCGGTTCTCTGCACTGGTAGGAAAACACCTTAGCAACTAAAATTTTCAAGGGAGTAGGTGAAAACTGAAGTCAATGTAAGTTGTTGATACCAGGTAGTTTCAGCAGTCAGAAAATTGGCACTTAGTGGGTATAAAGGCAATAAATGTAATAAAGTGTTCTGTTTGGATATGCCAATGTTAATATCTTAATTAAAAAGTGTTGTAGACTGCTCCATCATCTCATACACTGCCAGAAGTTAGATCCTTTCAGCTAAAGGGACTGCCACTTGGAGCAAAACACGTTTGCCTGTGGATTTCTAAGTGTATTTGTAGTAAAGGACTATACCTCCCTGCCTTAGCTACACAAAGCATGCTGTTAGGCCTAGGTGCATCTGAAGAGCTTCACTGTATCACTAAACACAAAGTGAATATGGCTGAATATATTCTTGGGACCAAATTGTCCCTAAATTCATGTAGTGGTAAAGGAAAGGCCCTGTGTAAGGACAGCTCTTTCTGTCACCGTCTGTGATCAGCCCTAGATTTTCGGTGGAAATATGGAGCAGTTGTGTGAGGAGGGTTTCAGGGAGAAGTAATCTAGGATTTACTGAGATTTCTGACGGAGTGCTTCACGAGGTGAGAGAAACCCCTTTCAAAAGGGCCTTAAGACAATTAGAGAAAGAAAAGGGCCTCATAATGTCCTGATGCTGCTTAGGCATTGGAGCTCTAGAGAGAGAAGATTACTCATTTTATCCAGTTTTGGGGAAGAAAAACTTTGTAAGATCTTCAGAACTTTTCTTGACAATCACCCTCTCATATCATCCTGCTGTTCCCAGCCCCCGTTTGGTGAAAGACTTGAGGTTTTGGGACTAGCCCTGCATAAATGGCCCATTGCTAATTGAAAAGAATTATGTCATCATAATTGGATGAATGAAAGAGGAGGTGGAGGGGAGAAGAGGAAGGGAAGAGATTATTGCTTTTGTCACAAGCTGAAGAAAGGTGTTTGAGGAAGTAGAAAGGAAGTGCCCAGATCTTGATGTTAACCAGAAAGGGAATTGTAGACTCTAAAGTGTTTATTAGAAGAGCACTGTAGGAGATTTCATGTATTTTCTCATTGAATGATTCCATATAAATTGTGTTTCATTTGAATTATATTGGCTTTTCTAACTGCAAATCAAGCAAGGAGCTTGGAGTTGTTTTCTAAAGTGTCTCTTTTCCCATTCCATTCAATGTTTACAGTGTAGGTAAGGAATTTTTTACGAGCTGTGGATCAGGTTGGAAGCCATTTCATTCTCAGGAACATGGCTTAATTCTTCCATGAAATTGAGTTTAATTGCTGAAAGAAGTTAACACAATTCTGAATACACCTAGGGAATAACTCCGCTGAGCCAAAAGATGACATTTGGCCGTCTTCTGAGTAGATCCTAGAAGAAAACTAGAAGAAATCCAATTTACTATTTAGAATAATATACATTAAGATAATTCTTAATGAATATTTGTCTTTATTCTAAGTCAAAGATCTTGAGAGGCACTTGGACCTTGCTCGTTCTGAGATAGGAGAAGCTTGGACAGGACAGCATCAACGCAACCAAGAACCTGGAAATCTGAATGACTAGATTAATGAATTGTTGGTAAAAACAAGTGATAGTGTGGAAAAAGTCTTGCTTTCTAAAAGCCTCTCCTTACTGCTGGTGCTCAGATTTGCACGTTGCTTGTTTCTGAAGGGCAGCAGCCCCCTTATAATTAAGTTTGAGGATTATTTTTTACTTGAAACATCAATTAGCTATGAAGAAAGTTTCCCAAAGGCCTTTGGCATTAACAATGTGGGACATTCAGAATTAAGATTAGCTTTGTCATAAATTCAAAATCCATGAATCTCATGCAAATCGTCTTAAAGATAGTGAGCCACCTTCCTTTTAACCTCACAAATCTCGGTCCCTTAATACGTTTTGCGAGACATCTGGGATTTTCCTACCAGCACTTAACATTCCTTTGTAACTGATTGAGAATGTTCACAAATTGAATATACAGTACAAAAAAATTTGCCACATAGGGTTGGTTTCATCACAACTGGCTTCATGTACTATAATTAGCCTTGCTTTTCTTCTTACATACGATTATTCCTTTATGACTGAGTTTTGGGATATTAGTTCGTGTGGTTTCATGAGATTTGTTTGCCCAGTTAGTGTCACAGTGCTTCTGAAGGAGTTGTTGAAATAATTTGATTCCATATGGTGTTCTCCTGTTCAAGAATATGTTAGTGTAAATTTCTCCTACGTATTGTGCATAGAGAAGACTGGATTTGGAATAATTATGGTATAGTTGGAGGTTAGGAATCTAATTTTAGGATTCTTTTTGTTTCTGTGTCTTCAACTTATGTTTTTATTCTGCCATTCTCTGAGCTTCCTACTTAGTTCTCTACTTTAGCTTTAACAATATGCAGGTAGTTAACAATAGCAAAAGTTATGATTAACAGAAAAGCCTATTGATAATTCAGTTGGGCCACATTTTAAATCTGTATTTTTGAAATTAGTAGCTCTGAAATACGTATGTCAGTATTTTAAATATTATTTGCATTTTAAATTATCATTTATAATTTCAATTATATACTGTTAGTATTATCTCTGGGGTGGAAAAGATTTAAGCACTGGAGAACATGTGACAAATTACTGCATGAAATAAAACAAGAAATGAACAGTTCTTTTTACTGGTAGGGATAGGTGTTTACCCAGAGCAGCCTTCCCTGGCGCGTAGTGTAGTGCTTCACTGTTTTTCATTTCATGTTGGCACAATATAATCTTTCTTCATTTTGTGTCTCATACTGATTTTGGGATAGATACAAATGACATGAAAGACTTCAGCATTGAGGTGTTACATGCTTCAAAATAATTACAGCAGCAGTATATGAAGTTGAAAGTTACTGCTTAGTTGGAAGAAAATGTGTAGAAGGTGTCAGACTGGTTTAGCTAATATTCCTGTCTTCTGCTAAGTGTAAATCCATGCAGTAGTCCCTATTCAGATGTGTAACCCTGTAATTGAGTGTTGCTCATGTTAAGAGAAAGAACAAAAAAATCCTAAATGTGATTCAAGGAGGGAGATGACTTTAATTTCTTGTAGACTGAACTTCATAAAAGAGAGAGAGGACTAGGTCTAGAAAAAGAGCACAAAATGCAATTTTGGAGTCGGAACACAGACAACAGCATCACCATGGACCACCTAAGGACAGAACTAGACAACACAAACATGCAGTTGCAGCGCGTGGAAAACTCAGTGAAGGAAATGAGGGCTGAATGTCGCAGGCAGATGGAGCGCCAGGTCGGTGAGCAGCTGCAGCATGATAGTGTTGGGATAGAAAGGGCACAGGTAGGGGGCTGTACTTCAGATAGAAATACTGTAACTCTGCTTACCATGGGTGGGAGGCCTCTGGATCTCAGCTGCCAAAATTTTCCTTTCAAAGATGCAGATATGCAAGAGTCAGAATTTCCCTTTTTTTTTTTTTTTTTTAATCCCTATTAATATGACCTGTCCAGCCTTCATTTCTCTTTGCTGATGAGGAAGTAGAAGCATTACTTTTAATTTTTATTTTTGACCTACAAGCCTTAGGAGAAAATGAATGTTCTGTTGATAGTGTGTTTGATTTTGACTGCAAATCTCCAAAACAACATTTTGTAAATTTCCAGAAAGTGTGATGCTGCCAACCAAACTACTGAAGGTAGTGAGCACTTCTGTAAGAATAATTAGTAAATTAAAGGCCTTCATGATGCCTTACTTTATGTAGTGCTTAATGAAAACATGATGAAGTTTGTGTTTATAATCCAAAGTGAATACAGGGCTATGTCAGAATGATTACTGCTGACAAAGTAGATTCTCAGACACTGACCTTTTTCAGGACTTCAGCCCCTCAAAAATGAGCTGTAATTAGGTAACCCACTTTGCATTGTGATTAAAGATCAAGTTAATACCTTTATTTTCTACCAACCAGAGGCTTGTGCTACCTTACACATTGTTCTACATGTTCTCGATCCATTATTTTTCCTTTAAAATCTTCCCACCAGGAAGTTCCTTCTTTTCTTCTGTTTCTATTTTGTACTAGTAGCAGATCCTGAGTCACAGTACTTTGTGCTTTAAGTGCTGCCTGCAGGAACAAAATCAGTAATACTTTATTCACGTACATACATTTTTTTTTTCCAACTTGTAGTTAAGTTAGTTGGGTTTTAACATAAAGTCCTGGAGACCCAATTACTCTAAATTTTATAGTAACATTGCCAGTTTATTAATTTTTTTTAACATCAGTTTAACATTTTTCATTTTCTATAATTAAAAAAAAGCAGTATTCTAAGCAATACTTAATACTTCTTTTATTAAAATAGAGAAAGAGGAAAGAAAACCAGAAGAACCACATAGTCATTATAGACCAGACCATGCTGACCTAATTTTCTTGTAAAACTAAGATATTTAAGATGAATTATAGAAAACCAGAAACGTGACAGGGAATTCTAAAGGTAGAAATAAACATTTCACTTGGTTGATCCTTATATTGCTATTATTCAGATGGATGTGACTAAGGGAAAAATGAAAGCACTGGAAGAATCTCTTCTTGGACTGTCCAGCTGGAGTCAACCAAGGAAACACTCCATAAAGTTCAAGAAGATCTTAGAGCTGAACCGATCGATTTGGAGACCACTGAGAAAACAGTGTCCAATCTGACAGCCTGTTTGCAGGAGGACAGAGCCCTTGAGGGTGCCAATAAGGAAATCAAGAAGCTATATTCACAACTTGGCAGCAGGATCCAGGAGCTCCGGCATCTGGAGAATGAAGAGGCCCGTTTACACGATGTGCAGAGTGTGAAACACTGAAACTGCAGCTGTTAGAAAAGGAAAGGATTGAGATCTTCCAAAAGCAAATTGATAACATGACCCAGACTGTGGGCCAGCACAGTCAAACTGCTGGAGCAATGGAAGCTGAGAAATCTCAGCTCGTAAAAGAGAGAAATGACTGGAAACTCAAAGTAGAAGAACTTAAGGTGTGCAACTGATGCTGTATTTATGTCTCTGTAAGACCGTGTATGTTTTCTGGGTTTAAATCTGTACCTAAATGTGCTAATACTGTGGTTTTAAAGCAGGTCAGTCAATGCACCCTTGAATCCCAACAGCACTAGAAGAGTTAGTGGGCAGAGAAGGATAACATTGTCACATTACCACCAAAAATGAATAATTCACTGGTGCGAAGTGGTTGCCAGAAAGATTGCGAAAGCTACAATATATCATATTGTGTTCAGTGACACAATTGCCCGTACCAGTAACAGAATCAGAAATACAAAGTGTTTAACAGGCCATGAGCCCTCAGATTTGCCAGCTGAGGACACTGTAACTGGTTATTCCTCAGACAAGAATTACAGGATATGGTAGTCTTACACAGGTCAGCATCTTCAGAAAAAAGTCACACTGGATAGGGAATTTCATCCCCTTTGTCAGAAGACAGTTGAGCATTAGGAGGGAGTATGGAGGTACTGCTACAAGAGGATGGAAATCACTCTCATACCATACACCTGGTAAGGTTAAACATGCCGTAAAGCCATCAGATCAGGTTGTATTGAACACCTTTTCCCTGGATTAGCAATTTTCACAGAAGTAGTTTGATTTACTCTGGTGTTATTTCTTGCCCCAAACTGTTCTCTGACAACTGAGATTTAAAGTAATGATGTGTGCACATCTTTGTGGTTAATTTATATAATTATATGTATTACACATGGTTACTATTGTTATTATGTAAGTAGGTTGCAGAGGATGAGAAGGAAGACAAGATACGTGAAATAGAGGCCAGACCAAGTGAGCTAGAACTGGAAAAGTTTGAACGGACAGACACAGGCAGTGAGAGGCTCCATGCACTTCATGACATGAAACTGGAAAAAGACCAGCTAATGAATGAATTCCAAGCCGGTCGGAGTGAGCTAGCTGGCTTTGCAGGTAGGCAGCTTCGACTCAGCTCTGATAGCTTCTAAATTGGGCTGATGTTAAAAATAGAAGAGCAGCTTGCTCACTGAATCCAAATATGGCTGCTGGTACAGCAGAAGGTTCCTTGCCAGCATGGGATGGTCAGATTGCTTCAGACAGCTAAGTCATGGTTTGGGGTTCTGGCACAGAATTGTGGGAATGCAATCTTTTTGGCAGACTCTCGCTGCTCTGAGCAAAAATACTTAAACTGCCTGACTCTGGAAACCAAAGCAGCAGGTCTACTAAATCACAGAATAGAAACTTGACCCCTTTTTCCTGAGCTTTAAGAGCACTAATGGATCCCATTAGTGGTCAAATTACAGTTGAACTTTGTTTCTGTTTTGCTGTGGTTTCGCTACAATGTTATTTGCAAGTTTTATGTTCTAACTCCAAGCATTGTTTCACAACTAATGTGTGGGAAAACCCATCAAGACAATATTTAAAAAAAAAAA